CTATACCCAATTTATATTAATAATTTAATTAATTTTAAATATAAAACAAAGTATTTCTAGAAATTAGATCTAAAGAAATTTAAAAATAAAAATAAAAATCTTAAAAGCGAGTGAAAGATTCAAAATTCTAACATTTTTGGTTCGTAAATCTAAATCAAAACTCCTCTTCATTTTAAAAACAACTCTTCAATCAAATAAATAAAGAAGTGGATGGAGATGTAATCAAATGAATAATTTTAATTAAATAAGATGACTAATCTCCAAAATAATTTTTATGTTCTTATAAGCTTAGAACAACCATTCAAGTGCGTGTGCGTGTGCGTGTGCGTGTGCGTGTGCGTGTGCGTGTGCGTGTGCGTGTGCGTGTGCGTGTGCGTGTGCGTGTGCGTGTGCGTGTGCACCATCCATCTTTGATCCCCATCTCAAATAAACAAAATAACCCAAAACTGCTTGTAACTTCATTACAAGTTTAAAGTGTGATCAAATATAGCTAAATTTACAGCATAAACAACTTTCTAAAGCTCTATCGACTTCTAACAACCAAGGAGAACATCAGAGAGATATCAGAGGCTTCAATGAAATTTAATGCACAACATCACATGGTGGACAAAGTAATTATAGAAGGAAAAGGGTGAATACTGTTCACAGCTTAGTTTCAAGTCGAGATGGATACCGTAGCATTCACGTTATAAACCATCGTTATCCCTCTGATGATCGGCTCTGTTCGCCATCGAAGGCAAGGATGGGTGTGAGTCCATGCGTGGAAATAATAGCTTTAGACGAAATGCATCAACTCCGTTCAAGTAATAATGGAAGAGTCGTTTTGCCCTGATAAACCCGAGACGACCATATAGTGCTAGTGCTCCTTTATTTGTAACTTCAGCTTCTAATGTGACCTTGAGACCAAACAACATCAGGTGGTTAGTTAGCATGTCAATTCCCTTTAAAACAAAATATTCCATTACCTAAAATACAGATTAAGAAAGGAGAGAAAACAAGTAATCCTCTCTCGTGAGACCGAAGAGATTACAGAAAACGGTGCTAATAAAAAGAGTGGTTGCAGACGTGTAATATGAGACAAGCAACATGAAAAGAGTTCGCCAATGTAACAGCCCAAGCCCACTACTAGCAGATAACGTCTTTCATTTTCCCTTTCAGACTTTCCCTTAAGGTTTTTAAAACGCGTCTGCTAGGGAGAGGTTTCCACACCCTTATAACCAATGTTTCGTTCTCCTCCCCAACCAATATGAGATCTCACAGCCAAACAACTCAAAACATGTTACGAAAACGATAGCCAAAAAGAAATAAACACAACACGGTACCACTTGGTTCAATTTGTCAAATCAAATAAACAAAGATACGTGCTACTCAAGGCAGTAATACTGCAGGTAAATTCAACAGAAGCCGTTAATCTCAAAGTCAGATCAAGTTCCAGCTATTTCAAGAACATTCCTCCAGGTAAATATCTATACATTCAACACAATTTAACATCCTAACTTGAGAGTGCATTATCTCCATCAAACCGAGAGTGTCGAGAACAAGTTACGCACGTATCATCAAATTGACAAATCCTAAATGATTGTAGCCTAGCTATACAACATTGGAATGGAGAAACTCGTTAAATATTAATATCAAAGATAGGTGACCTTGAAACCATAAACCCATGCTCCCAGAAGTAAACAAGTTCCCGTCATTTTTCCACACCTTAAACCTTCTTAGTTAGGATTAGAAGAGGAAATGAAAACCGATAAACCCTATATTTGTAGCATGTTTTACCTTATCTGTATATGATCGTTCTCCCATATGCGAAAACTTTGTATTTGATTCAGTGCACAGAAATCAAGATCATATCATTTTAACTTTCAAAGAAATACTCGATAATTCGAAGTAGCTAGCTCCAAGGAGTTTCAAGGTCTTTTACCCCTATTCTACCAGACCTTCGGGTTCGTTTTAATAAATTCATCACTACTTTAGATAATTCCCGGCATTGGCTTGTATTGAAACAGAGCTTGGTGAAAGCGGAGGTCTCCAAATCCAACTTATTAAGCAATGCCAAATAGGCATGGGGGACTGAAAGAGATCTTGTCTTGAAAATACCACTTAGGATCTAAAGGAGATAACATAACAAGTACAATATTGCAGATGCAACACGTGCTCGAGCTTCTTTTCTTTTGTAAAAGGTCAAATTACTTGATGGTACAGGCTATACAGCCATCCACTATTAACTAATAGTTCAGTGATTTGAGTAAGAATGTAACAAACCAAACTATATAACATAGAGAAGAGAACGCACAAGTTATTTGCTTTGACTCCTTTAACGAATTAATAGAGGACATAAATATTGGAACACGCAAGACAGAGGAAATACCATAATTGATGTCAATATACCTCATCACAGCCTGATTCCATCATGGCTTTTATAGACCTCGTGACGAGCTCGGTAGCTACAATATCAAGAGAAATAATTATGATAATGAAGATCTATGAACCCTAATTGGTTTGTGACAAAAAAGGGTGTATAACCCATTTAAGATAGAAAACATTATGAAGTACCGTACATTTTATGCATACAAATAAATCATATTCCAGTCAACTAAAGAAGGAGAAAATTGGGATCACACCCAAGAGTATCAGCCATTCTTGACAAAGATCGTTGATGTAACGGCCCAAGCCTGCCGCTAGGAGATATTGTCCTTTTAGACTGTCCTTTAGGGTTCTTAAAATGCGTCTGCTAGGAAGAGGTTTCCGAATACACTCGTTCCTCTCTCCAATTGATGTGGGATCTCACAATCCACCCCCTTAGAGGCCCAACGTCCTCGCTGGGACACCGCCCAGTGTCTGGCTCTGATATCATTTCTAATGGCTTAAGTCCACCACTAGCAGATATTGTCCTCTTTAGACTTTCCCTTTCAATCTTTCCTTGAAGGTTCTTCAAGGTTCTTAAAACGCGTTTGCTAGGGAGAGGTTTCCACACCCTTATAAAGAATGCACTCGTTCCTCTCTCTAATCGAGGTGGTATCTCACAGTAAACAGAAATTATTCTAACAATGATATCATATTCTAATATCATCTAAATCCAAGTAAGTCATACAAATAAACCTTGCAACGAAAACAAATAAATGGGCAGAATGACAAATCAATCTTACAAGGAAAACCTAAACCATAGAATTCATTTATCAACAACCACTTCCCAGAAACCAGAGAAGAAAAATTTACCGATGCCTTTTCCTCTATAGGGCTTGATGACAACCAACATGGCAATGTACCCTCTGAAAGCCCCCCGATGCTCTCCCATCTTACAAACCACCGTCCCGACACATTTTCCCCTATGGAAGGCCTGGGGAAACAACAAAAATAGAATGAATAGAACAGAAATTAAAGGGAATCGCGACAAACACGATCTAATTGGTCAGAGATTTGATACAAAAGCGAGACTAATACCAGGAATGAAAGTTGGGGCCAGAGGTATACGAAATAACGATAAGTGAATATGGAGTAGGGTTCGCTGAGTTCTTGATCAACCAGATTCATGATCAGAGGTAAGTGATGCTCACCGCCATAGCTTACGTACTCAATCTCCGATGCATCAAATTCAACTTTCCTCGTTTCTCCTCCTTCTACCACACCGCCCAATTTCGCTTCCATTCTCTGATCTTCTCGCCGGAGACTGCTACGTCGCCTGAAGGAATCCGGCCGAATTTTGGAGTATTAATCGGTAAGAGAGAACTTGAATGCCTTCCAAGTATTGAAGCCCTGGTTCCCTAAAAAAATAAAAATGCTGATTAATTTCAACTTTAATTTCAATTATTCAAATCACTAAATAAATTCTAAAACAATTAGCTTCCAAATAAATATTAGAATTAGTTAACATTTAATATGATTCAACCCAATATAACTATTTTGGAGTATATATATATATATATATATATATATTTATTTATTTATTTATTTATTTTAATGGAAGAAAATGGACACAAATTTAAATTCAGTTATCCTTCTCTCTCACCTTTCACGTGTAACAAATTACACATAAAATAAAATAAAAAATTAAATTATAAATTTAGTCCAATTCTCAACTTTCTAATTATAAGTGTTCGATTTTTTTTTATTATTATTTATTAGATTTAAATCGTATAAAAAATTCCATAGAAAATAATAAAAAATAGATTATAAATTTGGTCTAAATTTAAAGAAATTACAAATTATTAAAGGAATTATAAATTAATTCTTAAAATTTTAATTTTTTTATTTTAATTTTTAAATTTAAATAAAGAAAAGTATACACAAATTTCCATTTAGTTCTCATTTCCTTTTCATCTAACAAAAATAAATTACAAATTTAAAGTAAATAAAATAATAAAAAAATAAATTACACATTTAATTCAAATCTTTGAAGAGGAATTTAAGTTTATATAAGTTCTCCAACTTTTTAATTATAAATTAAATTTTCAAAAAATAAAAATTTATTTTTTTATTTTTAAGTTTAATGGGAGAAAAACAAAATGTATAAATTTAGATTATATAAAATAATAAAAATTAACTTACAAATTTAATCTCAATCGAATTTACCTTTCAACTCCTTTATGACACGAAAAAAAAAAACAAAAAAAAAAAAAAAAAAAAAAAAAAAAAAAAAAAAAAANAAAAAACAAAACAAAACAAAAAAGTTGTCCCGTCATGGTCACATACGAGGTATTTCTTTAAATACTTAAGTCAAACGTTACGTCTATTTTAGGTTAAGGTAAAATATTCATGTACAGCTGGCGACGACATCACAACTCGAAACCATGACACATACAGGGTAATCATGTTTATTTTTTAAGGCTTAGGCTAGAATAGAAATTTAAACCTTTATTTATTTTATTTATGTCATTTTTTTTTATTTAAAATACGTAAGTTTTAGTATTCAATATTCATGATAAGTATACAATAAGAACGTTAAATTAATATATCGGAATGAATTAAAATTTTAAAAATATACAGAGAAGAACTAAATTTATAATTTAACCGAAACGAGAAATGAGACGGAGAGTCCAAAGCTAAGAGGTAGAAAAGCCATTGATGAAGGAAGAGAGAAGGAGAAGGGAAGAGGGGAATTAGTCGTTGCATGTAAGCTCAGAACTTTTGCTCCACATGTAACCCTTCTCCTCTCCCCAACTTTCACTCCCCAACCCACCGTCCCTTAACCATGGTTAACTTCTTCCATTATTATTCCTCAACGCTTCCTTCACATTTGTCACTCTCCTTTAACCACTCCTCTCCTCTCCTCCCCTCCTCCACTTCTCCCCCCCCTCACCACCTTCCAAATATAGCACATTATCCGAATCATGCCCTTTTTGGACTACCAACCTCCTCCTCCGCCGCCGCCGCCGCCGCCTCCACGCGATCTCGCCGCCGCTGTTCAGGCTGCTTCTCTCCACCGCAAGAAGCGGATGTCGAGACACCGCCGCCGATCTTCCTCTAATCTCCACTTCTCCTTCCCTTCTTCTTCCGCTGCCCTTCTGCCTCCGCCGCCACGGGTACTCTTCCTTCTCCTTCCTCCTTTCATTCTTAAATTTTAAATAAATAAATTTATAATAATAATGAAATGGTTTGGGTAAGTTGGTAATTAAGTTCAATATAGAGGTCAATTAAGTAATTTTCCAAGTGCTATTTTTATTTAAATAAAATTATATATATATATATATTTTTTTTTTTTAAATAGGTGATTGATCCAAGGAGGCTCAAGTTTCTTTTTGAGAAAGAGCTTAAGAACAGTGATGTTAGCTCTCTAAGAAGAATGATACTCCCAAAGGTTTATTTATTTATTTTAATATATATATATATATATAATTAATACATAATTAGTTTATTTCATTTGATTAATTAATTAATTAATTAATTAATTATTCAGAAAGCAGCTGAAACTCACCTCCCAGCTTTGGACTCCAAAGAAGGAATTATAATTACCATGGATGACTTGGATGGGTTGCATGTTTGGAGCTTTAAATACAGGTTTTTATTATTTTTTTTATTTTTTATTTTTGTGGTAATAATGACGTAATAATAGTGTAATTATTTATTTTTTTTTTTTGTAGGTTTTGGCCGAATAACAATAGTAGAATGTACGTACTTGAAAATACTGGTAGGCTCTCTTCGATATTTTTTTTTTATTACATTTGATTAAAAAAATTATGAAATTGTTATCGAACCGAGCTTGGTTTGATTATTTTCATGTTTTTTTTACGTCGAGTCGAGATATAACATATATAAATATGTGTTTTGTTTTGGTATCGAGTTATCACAGGGGACTTTGTCAATGCTCATGGCTTACAACTAGGAGATTTCATCATGGTTTATCAAGATTATGAAAACCTCAACTATGTAAGCTTTATGTTATTTCTAATTAGTGAATTCGTAGCACATGTTGTCGGGTTTTTCGGTAAAATGGACGAAAATGGCCTTAATCGACTTTAAGTAGTGTAAAAGAAGCTTACGACATCAGGGGCAAAAAAGTAATTAGCTCGAAGCAGTATAAAAGAAGCGAATGGCGAATGACTTTAGTTTCAAATCATGGAGATAAAAAAAACCCGATAAGGTTTACTCTCTTTGGCTTGCATTTCGACAGGTGATTCAGGCAAAGAAGGCTTCTGATCAAGAAATGTATACCGGCATAGGAACCAACGTCGTGATCAATGGCGATATAGTGTTTCATGACTATGATCCTAATAAAGTGGGTAACTCGATATACGTGCCTAGTCCAACGATGGATGTGTCATCGTTCATCTACGATACTAGTTCTGCGTTTGACAACGATTCAACTTTCGACTTTATGAGTGGATCAGTGACTAACTACTCGAGAATGGGAGGTCTCGAAGGGTTTGGATCGGTCGAGAACTTGTCTCTTGATGAGTTCTACTAAGAGACGTAGCTATATGTATAGCAAAGAAGCTTTGAGCATGGTTTCACAACATGATCATCAAATGTTTAGCTAGAAAATCCTTTGGAGGGGGAAGGGTTTAGAACTTGATGTGTTGTACTAACTATTTTGATACAACAATACACTCTTTTACGTTGTTTTGGTGCTAAAATGTGACCATGCAAGTTTGTATAGTAATAAAAAAAAAAAATGTGAAGCTTTAAGGTTTTGTTGGCTCGTGTGTTATACTAATTTCGGTTTCTATTCAGAGAATTTAGGTCTTACTAACGTCTCGATCAATCAGGAAGCCGAAAAAGTTATTTTTTTAAGAGTCTTCAAGTATGGAAAGTTATTCGTAGACAATGAAATTACATTTACGATATGAAACAGACAACGATGAAATGAAAAGCTACTCGTAGACCATGAATATAGAAAGCTACTGGTTGTTTCAGGTAGAAAGCTACACGTGATTATGAAAAGCTACTCGTGGAACAATAAACATGGAAAGCTACTAGCTGTTTCAGCTGGAAAGCTACACGTGGATAGTGATTATGAAGAGCTACTCGTGGACAGTGAGTATGGAAAGTTACTAGTCGTTTCAGTAGGATTGGAAATATGTCAAAGTTGTTTCGGTTGACTGGAATGTCAACTTTAAAAACATTAAAAAATTCTTCGTGAATGGCCATGACCGCAATTCTCAATAGAATCTAATTTATAATTTCAATCTTAATTTTAATATATATATATATATATACATATAATTTGATGAATTTTTATTATTAATATTTGATGAATTGAATTTTTTGTTTTTTATATATATTTTTTCTTTATCTCTATATTTTTTGTTTTTTTATATATTTTCTTTAATATCAATTTTTTTTTTGTTTAGATCTCAAAAAAAAAAAAAAAAAAATGGAATTACTAAATATGTCAACTTTAAAAACACTAAAAAGTTCATGGATGACCATAACTTTGATAAGCTCAATCAACTCTCCCGATATCAAATAATGTCACTATTAAAATCATGAATAATAACTTTAAATTACGATTAATGTGTAAGAAAAATATAACATGATAGTTCAACGTAATTTTTAAAAATTCAAATTTCAACCGTTAGTTTAAACGTTAATTTTCATTAATATATGTATATATTTCAATTATTGGGATACAAATTATTTAAAAAATACATTAATTTATTTTAAAAAATACAAACAAAAATATATATATATATTTATATTTATATTGCAATTCATATTTGATTTCACATTAACTTATTTTACAGTATAGAGATTATATATACTTTTTTTTTTTAAATTTTAGCATAAAATTTTATTTATAATTTAATCAAAATTAATCTAAAGTTAGATGTTTTTTTTTTTTTTTTTTAAATTTTTCTCTCTTTAAATTTCTAATTTACGGTAAATTGTTGGGTAAATTTTGAATTTTCACCTGAAACAATGTGGAAAGGGAAATTGTGAAGTTATGAGAGTGGCCGAAATCTGATCCCTGCTGCGAAGCAAATTAGGACGGTTTCTTCAATTGATTCCGCGAATATTTTCTTGCCGTTGTATAGTTCTTGTTGAAAACCCTAATTTGTTTCGTTCGATTGGCTCTGCAATTAGGGTTTTGCGCCACGTTAATGGCGGAAACTGCCAGTAGTAGAGAGGAGACTGCATTCGATGCGAAGCGCAAACCTGCTGATCCCTGCTGCGAAGCGAAAGAGGAGCGTTCGAACAAGATTCAGAAGCTTGAAGTGGTTGAGGGCGAACCCTGTAATGATGTAAAGAAGAATGGTGACAATGGAGACCATAAGCAAGGTGATGACCAGATTGATAACATTTCTTCGGCTGCGGAAGGGAAAGATGATGGAGTTCTTGCAGCTGATGTAGATGCGGGGGACGAGGGAGAGGATGACGATGATGAAGACGACTGTGAGAACGGTGAAAAGTCGAGTGGGAAAGCGGCTAAGGAGGATCGTAAGGGGAAGGGTATCATGAAGGATGACAAAGGAAAAGGGAAATTGATAGAGGAAGACGACGACGACGACGACGATGAAGATTCCAGTGATGATGGAAGCGAATTTGACAATGAAGAAAGCGATTTGTCGGATGATCCACTTGCGGAGGTCGATCTGGACAACATCCTTCCTTCTAGGACGCGGAGGCGAACGGTTCACCCTGGAGTGTATTTTGCTACGGATCTTGGTAACGAAGACGATGATAGCAGCGACAGCGATGCTTGAAACGCGAAAGGTCAGTAAACTCGGCAATTGAACCTTGAGTTAGTAGAAGTTATGTGAATCCATATTACTCAGTTTTTATCTCCTTTAGGGATCATGTAGCAATGTAATGAGTTCCCCCATACAATTTGATTTTGAAGGTTACATATTTTCTTGATTTCCCACTTTGACATCCGAAGCATCAAGCATTTCTTGCATCGGCTTTCATTCATATGCCTTTTCTGAACCATGTAGAAGCAGTATTAAGCCATTCTTTGTAGGGGGATTGAACTCATCACTCTTAATTGGAAGCCATAATTTTACCCACTAGAGCTAAATCAATGGATATTGAGGAAGTTGTAACATTTGATTCTTCACCTATTGGAAAGCAGTTTCTTGAAGTGAATTGCCGCTTGGAGTGAAAAAAATTCCTGGGAAACGATTCACTTGATGACAATAATTTGCTAATCTATGAGGGAGAAATTCTGTTCAATGAAAGAGTTGTTCTTTACAAATCTTTTCACATTCTTGAGATCTTCTCCTCTCAAAGATTGCAGTCATGCAAATTCCTCTTGACTCACTTGATGACAATAACTTGCTAATCTGTTCAATGAAAGCATTGTTTTTTACTTATCTTTTCACATTCTTCGTCTTCACTTTGAACGTTTTTTCGTGTAAAATATCTGTGTACTACAGGAGAAGGGCTAGTTATGGAGTTTATGTTGGATGCTGTTTTTTCTGCTTATTACTGCGTTGAATGTGTATATGATTGTGCGAGTCTTCTGTCATATTGGTTGAGCTTGTTTATTTGAAAAATCTTTATCTGTGGTATATTGTAGAGATGCAGGTATGATATGATTTTTCCTTGTGCTGATGTAACTGCTTTGATACTTTTCCTCTCATTTTTTTGTGTATAACATACACAAACTGGGTAGAGGGAGGGTAGGGGTGGAAGTTAAGAAACAATGTACTGATTTCCATCATAAGAAAAGAAACAAACAATGTTGTAACGGTCCAAGCCCACTGCTAGCAGATACTATCCTCTTTGGGCTTTCTTTTTGGCTTCCCTTCAATATTTTTAAAACGTGTATGCTAGGGAGAAGTTTCTATACCCTTATAGAGAATACTTTGTTCTTCTCTCCAACCGATGTGAGATCTCATAATCCTAAAGTTGTTACCGGTGTAGGAAATGTGCCAAAGACGAGGAATTTGATATTGTATCAAATCCAAAAGCCAAGGGGGAGGAAGATCACAAAAGATTCTTCAATTGGTATAATCAGAAAAGACGCCAAATCTTCAACCATATTAAACAAAGTCCAAACTCCGAACTCCGAACATTTCAGTCTTCGAAGTTATCACTTGGTAAAGTGGCTTCGCTCTTCGAAAGACACTCATCTCTTTAACCTGAAACAACTTAGGCTACCCCATAGCAGCGACTAGTAAGTTTTGAAAGAATTAGGTATAGAACTCAATTTGGATGCTAGTTCACAAGTGATAAACTGGTTATGGTTTTCTTCTGATAGAACTTTTCAAAGTAGTCTTTTAAGGTGACTTCTCTCTTCAATAGCCACGCACCCCTTCTCCGAAAACGACTCGTGCTATCTCTTCCCAAGTAAGGGTGGGGTACTTTGGATAGAACACAAGCATAAAACTCGAATTAATGCTGGTTTGTTGTTAGGGTAAAAGAATTATTTGGTTCTCTTTTCACAATTTTTTAAACGTTGTAACCATGTCTTTGCCACCTAAACATTGCTTTTCAAAGACCCAGATTCTTATCTTGGAGATCGCTGAGTACTTGTGTCACAGAGAGCTTGAGAAGGTATCTTTCTTAGGCATGGAAATGGAACCAAGGCTGGTAAAATCTCCCAGTAGCACAGGAAGTTACTCGGAGAAAGTGTCCTAGGAAAGCTGACTATATGTTATGAATGTCTTAACTATTGAGTTACGTTTATATTGGTAATGTTCCAAAGAACATTTGGTTCTAGCATTGTCACTCGGTTGATAATCTTTTGTGATTTAGAGAAATAAGGGAATCTTTTATGTAAGTTTACTCATTTGGAGTCGGGATGGAATAGAATTTCGAATCACTTCCCAATATTTTGTTTTTTGGTTTTATACCAAGATGATGTGATTAGATATATTATCTTTTTTAATCAATAATTTTTAAAAATTTATATATATACACACAATTTATATATATTTTGTACCTACCAACATTAATATTGTAAAAAAACTACACGAAATTTTGAAAGAAGCTACATCTAACGTAATCGTCTTGTAAAATGGATTAGGAGGGTTCCTTCTCGTATAAAATTTCAAACTAATCTTTAAGGTGGCTTTGCTCTTCAATAGCCTCTCACTTTGTATATGAAAGCGTCTCGTACTATCTCTTTTCAAGTTAATGAGAGGTAGTTTTGAAAGAACCCGAACATAGTGTTGTCGTTATTATCATAAAACAATTGTGTGCATTTCTTATCACAAAATATAAAACTAAATGTTAAAGATTCCTTCATTTTTAATAGTTACTCCCAAATAGTCACAATTTCTGTTATTACAACTAAAAGAGGGATGAGACAACTTTAAAATAATAAAATAATTAAATAGCCAAAAAGTTAAGTATTATTCATCTATTTTTATTTGCATTGTTTAGATTTCAATTAAATTAAACAATTTTTTTAAAAAAATGGATATTGTTCCATATCACTTGATTTCATACATATAAGGTAAATATTTTAAAATAAGTCAACGTTGTAATAGAAAAATAAAATAAAATATTAATTATTTTTTAATAATATTTTCGTAAAATAAAAAGAACACTCTAGCTCCCCACCGACCCCACCCATTCATTACACTCTCACTCCCACTCACCTAGACTTCTTCTTCCTCTCCGTGCTTGACGCTGTTGTCGGCCCGCCGCCTCTCCCCGTTCAGTGCCACCGCCGCCTCTCTCCCACTTTGTCCCGCCGCCGCCGCCTCCCTACCAGTACGTCTTTCTTCACAGCAACTCAAATTAGCATTTGTGTAACGAAAGAAACAGGGAGTTGTTTGCTTAACAGAACAATCTCAGCTTATCAATGACTGTAGATTATAATCGGGTTTTAATGTTCATTGGTTCTGGTTCACTGTCTCATACCCATATCATCGATTCAGCATTTTCTTCTCTCTCTTTTTTCTTGCTCTATCACAAATGGAGTCCACAAAACCCTCTTCTGCAATTGTGGAAGAACATAGATTCTTGCTTCTTCCACTTGTTCTTGTTCTTGTTCTTCTTTATCGCACTCTTAATTTCTTTAAATGGGGTTTCCTTCAGGTACAGGGAGCCACTATGTTCTTCCACATAGTTTTGGAGAGGAACATGCAGCTGCATCCACGGCACTTTGGCCGTAATCTCCGTGAAAATCTGGTGTCCAAACTCATGAAAGATGTTGAGGGTACTTGCAGGTTTGTTAACTTCACCCCCACCGCTTGTATCCTGCTACAACATTGCTGTTGATCTTGTTTTCTTTTTGTTAAATTTACCTTTTCGATAAGACCCTGAATGAGATCTCATGAAACCTTCTTTATAAGGGTGTGGAAACCCCTCCCTAGCAAACGCATTTTGAAAACCTTAGGGGAAGTCCTAAGAGGACAATATCTGCTAGCAGTTGGGTCGGGTCGGGTCGTTTCACTTTGCTTCACAACTAAGTATCCTAAAAGCATTCATGATTTGAACTAGTTTAGCTGGGCAAGATGGTTGTGTAGTTTCTTGTAGGAAAACCTCCCTGGTAAGTCTTAATTTGTGAGATCCCACGTCGGTTGGAGGGGGGAACGAAGCATTCCTTATAAGGGTGTGGAAACCTCTTCCTAGCAGACGCGTTTTAAAAACCTTGGGGGGAAACCCGTAAGGGAAAGCTCAAATAAGACAATATCTGCTGGCGGTGGGCTTGGGTTGTTACAAATGATGTCAGAGCCAGACACCGGATGGTGTGCTAGTGAGGACATTGGGACCCTAAGGGGGTGGATTGTGAGATCCCACATTGGTTGGAGAGAGGAATGGAGTATCCCTTACAAGGGTGTGGAGGTTACTTCTACCTAGCATACGCGTTTTAAAACCTTGAGGGAAAGCCTAGAAGGAAAGCCCAAAGAGGACAATATTTGCTAGCGGTGGAGTTGGATTGTTACAAATGGTATAAGAGCCCGACACTGGGCGGTATGCCAGCGAGGTTGCCGGGTCCTGAAGGGGGGTAGATTGTGAGATTTCACATCAATTGGGGAGGAGAACGAAACATTCTTTATAAGGGTGTGGAAACCTCTCCCTAACAGACGTGTTTTAAAAACCTTGAGGGGAAGCTCGGAAGAGAAACCTCAAAAAAGACAATATCTACTAGCGGTGGGTTTGGGCTGTTGCAAATGGTATCAGAGCCAGACACTAGACAATGTGCCAGCGAGGACGCTAGGCCCCTAAGGGGGTGGATTGTGAGATCCCACATCGGTTGGAAAGGGGAACGAAACATCCCTTGTAAGGGGTGTAGAAACCTCTCCGTAGCAGATGCGTTTTAAAACCTCGAGGGAAAGCCTAGAAGGAAAAGCCCAAAGAGGACAATATCTGCTAGTTGTGGGCTTGGACTGTTACAACATGTCAGTTCATGAGCGGACAAAAGCCAATAAAAATGGTAAAACTATTTGTTGGATGATATTATTCTTTTAAAAGGTTTGATACTTCTTTCAACTAGTGAACAATTAGATGGATTATGTTATCGAAAAGTTTTGTACTTCGACAGTGGTCGACATGGTTTCGTAGTAGCAATTACGGGAATTGAGAACATCGGTAAAGGATTGATTAGCGATGGGACAGGTTTCGTCACTTTTCCCGTTAAATACCAATGCGTCGTGTTTCGACCATTCAAGGGAGAAATCTTAGAAGCAATTGTTACTATGGTAAACAAGGTATCTATCTGGCACCATGGCACCCTTTTTTGATATCTAGCATGTGATTAATGAAGTTCTTTTGAATAGTAAATATGAATATGACTGCCATTGCAACTATTGTAGATGGGTTTCTTTGCTGAAGCTGGACCTGTTCAGATTTTTGTTTCAAACCATGTAAGTATATGTTTATAATCCATTTTCATATATATGCGAGCGGTGGGTTTTGGCGGTTACAAATGGTATCAGAGCCAGACACTGGATGATGTTGTGCCAACGAGGAGGCTGAGCCCCGAAGGGGGGTGGACAAGAGGCGGTGTGCCAACAAGGACGTTGGGCCTTGAAGAGGGTAGATTGGGGGGTCCCACATCCATTAGAGAAGGGAACAAGTGTCCGCGAGGATGCTGGGCCCCGAAGGGGGTGGATTGTGAGATCTTACATTGGTTGGAGAGGAGAACGAAACATTCTTTATAAGGGTGTAGAAACCTCTTCCTAGTAGAGGCGTTTAGAAACCTTGAGGGGTAGCTCGAAAGGGGAAACCCAAAGAGGACAATATATGCTAGCGGTGGGCTTTGGCGGTTACAAATGGTATCAAAGCCAGACATCGGAAGATGTTGTGCTAGCGAGGAGGTTGAAACTCGAAAGGGGGTGGACATGAGGCGGTGTGCCAAAAAGGACGCTGGGCTCTGAAGATGGTAGATTGGGAGGTCCCACATCTATTAGAGAAGGGAACAAGTGCCAGCGAGGATGCTGGGCTCCGAAGGGGGTGGATTGTGAGATCCCACATCGATTGGGGAGAAAGGGGGTGGATTGTGAGATCTTACATCGATTGGGGAGGAGAACAAAACATTCTTTATAAGGGTGTAGAAATCTCTTTCTAGCAGACGCATTTTAGAAACCTTGAGGTAGCTCGAAAGGGAAAGCCCAAAGAGAACAATATATGCTGACGGTGGGCTTTGGCGGTTACAAATGGTATCAGAGCCAGACACCGGACGATGTGCCAGCGAGGAGGTTGAGCCTCGAAGCGGGGTGAACATGAGGTGGTGTGCCAACAAGGACACTGGACCCCGAAGGGGGTAGGTTAGGGGGTCCCACATCCATTAGAGATGGGAACAAGTGCCAGCGAGGACATTGGGCCTCGAAGGGGGTGGATTGTGAGATCCCACATCGATTGGGGAGGTAGAAGGTAGATTGTGAGATCTCATATTGGTTGGGAAGGAGAACGAAACATTCACTATTAGGGTGTAGAAACCTCTTCCTAGCAGACACGTTTTAAAAACCTTGACGGGAAGCCTGAAAGGGAAACCCCTTTTGTTACGATGTGAACAGTGCAAAGTGTATTTTTTGGAGAGAGATTCCGAAATTCATTAGGAATGTCGTCACTGACTTCAGTTCTCGTGTTCGTTGTGCAGTGAAGTATTTAAGCAAGCTAACACTAACACTAACACTAACGCTTTTTCTCATCACGTGTTTCAGTTGATACCAGATGATATGGAGTTCCAGTCCGGAGATATGCCAAACTATACCACTTCGGATGGATCAGTATATCTCTATTTGACATGCATTCTCTAACATAACGCTCTCTTGTCGTGTTTTTACTGATTTATTTCTGCTCTCGTGTAGGTTAAGATTCAGAAGGACAGTGAAGTTCGATTAAAGATAATCGGGACTCGAGTCGATGCAACTGAAATCGTAACGTCTTTTCTCTATTTAACATCGTTAAAGATAACTCTATGTTTGTTGGTTCTTGTGAGTTTGGCGTCTCATTTAACTATTGCTTTTGCTTGCAGTTTTGTATTGGAACCATTAAAGATGACTTCTTGGGTGTCATAAATGACCCTGCGGCAGCTTAGAACATGTGTTAGTTTACTAATTTTACTGTATAGTTTCTGCATTTCCTTGACTGTTCTCTGTCGAATTAAACGGATTCGTTTGCCCGTTACTTGGTGTAGCAATATTTGGAATGAGAAACGTATTTATAACGGTCCAAGTCCACCGCTAGTAGATATTGGCCTCTTTGGGTTTTAGGCTTCTTCTCGAGATTTTTAAAACACGTCTACTAGGGAGAGGTTTCCACACCCTTGTAAGTAATGTTTCGTTCCCATCTCCAACCGATGTAGGATCTCACAATCCTTCCTCTTTGGAGGCCCAACGTCCTTGCTGGCACATCACCTAGTGGCTCTGGCTCTAATACCATTTGTAAAGGTCTAAGCCCACCGAAAGCAGATACTGTCTTCTTTGGGCTTTCCCTTTCGAACTTCCGTTTAAGGTTTTTAGAACGTGTCTGGTAGGGAGAGGTTTCTACACTCTTATAAAAAATGTTTCGTTCTCCTCCCCAACTTATGTGGGATCTCACAATCCACCCCCTTACGGGACCGAGCATCCTCGTTGGCACTTGTTCCCTTCTCTTCTCTAATCAATGTGGGACTCCCCAATCCACCCCCTTTGGGGCCTAATGTCCTTGCTGGCACACCGCCTCGTGTCCACCTACTTTAGGGCTCAGCCTCCTCGTTGGCACGTTGTTTGGTGTCTGGCTCTAATACCATTTGCAATAGTTTAAGCTCACTGCTAATAGATATTGTCCTCTTTGGGTTTTCTCTTTCGGGCTTCCTCTCAAGGTTTTTTAAACGTAATCGCTAAGGGGAGGTTTCTGCACCCTTATAAGGAGAGGTTTTCGCACCTTTCAGGCTTCATCCTTAAACTTCATGAAACAGTCCTCGGTGGACATGAGGATTTTATCGAATCATAGAGATGAATTTGAACTTTTTCGAAACTTTAGGGATCAAATTTGTTATCTAACCTTATCTAGAAGAGTTTATATAATTTTTGTTAACAGCCAAACCCGGGCCGTTGCCCAACCTTAGCCCTCTACTTTCCCTCCCCCACCTCAGCACACCCATTGCCACACACGCCTCCGCTGTCTCGCGTCGGCCTCTTCCTCAACACCATTTCGACGAACCCAGTGTCTCTCCTGTTGCTGCAAGACCTATCCTACCTCGTTGCCTTCCAAAGGACTTTTTCCAAATCGTTGGCGGAGTCGTAAACAAATGCTATATCAATGTCGAATTTCGCTATTAATAGACAAACATCAAACTAATGGCGTGGCGCGACGGGTGCCGTTGATGGCTGTGAGAGAGTGATGGCTATGCGATAGAGAGAGACTCGACTATCGTAAATTTGAGAGAAGACCCTTTAAAAATTTAGAAAAGTTTATTTCTCGTTTTAGTCGTCGACTAAGATCTCAAGACAATAGATAATGAACTGTGATCAATATTTTTAAAAATTTATTGCGATGAATATTTAATTTGGATGATTACTTATATTTTAAAATCATTGTTATACTTTAACCTTTATAAAAAATAAAAATCCAGGAGTATCTTTTAATTTCATTTTTAAAAAATTAAAAAATGTTTTTGAAGTTTTTAAAATTTTAAAAATTTATAGATATTTTTTAAAAGTATTAATAGTAAGAATATTTAAAAAAGTATTGTCGAAATTTTGGTGAATTTAAAAATAGTTTTAAGTTAAAAAAATAATAATAATAAAATTTAGGAGTATTTTTATTAATTTAAATCTTAAGAAAAAATTATTAATTTTACTTCAGAAAAAAAAAAATTCTTTGTCGCATATACGTTCATGGTGTAAATGAATCTGAGCCGTTGAAAATTTTAGAGATCTTGAGATGACGTCAATGAAATAAGAAGATGAGAGAGAGAGAGAGAAAGAGAGAGAAAGCTCTTGATCTCGGCTGCAACAGCTTCGTTCTTCTCTCTCGCTCTCGTTTTCAGTTGATACTTCCACAGCTTGGGAACAAAGCTGTAATGGCGAGCAGATACTGGATGGTCTCTTTACCTGTTCAAGGCTCCGCCTCTTCCCTATGGAATCGCCTTCAAGAGCAAATCTCCAAGCATTCTTTCGATACTCCTCTATACAGAGTACTGATTTCACCGTCAAATCTTCAAATCTGCTTGATTTTCATGATTTTACTTTCTTTTAATGTTTCTGATTTTTCTTTTGTTTAGCTCAATGTTCCTAATCTCCGCGTAGGAACGCTGGATTCGCTCCTTTCCCTCAGCGATGATCTTCTCAAGGTATTGCTTTCCTGTTTCTGGTTAAAATGTTGTTTATGCGTATTTGAATTTAGTTTGAAGTCTGTTGAATTTTCAAATGCGATTTGATTTGTTCTTAGAATGCTGTTTTTTTAAAAAAGAATAGAATTGGGCCGAAAATCTGCGCGATCTTTATGTTTCCAGTTTTTAGTATGGTATTAGAAGTTTCAAAAATTCATTTCATTGTGCAGTCGAACAGCTTCGTGGAAGGAGTTTCCCAGAAAATCAAACGGCAGATCGAGGAACTAGAGAAGGTTTCTGGTGTGGAGAGCAATGTTTTGACGGTTGATGGAGTCCCCATAGATTCGTATCTTACTAGGTAAAATGGGCGTTTTCTTAAGAAGTGATTTCATTTTGGGAAATTAGGTTCGATTTTGTGGTCACATGTCTGCATGATGTGATGAATTTTGTTTGGTAATGGAAGGTTTGTGTGGGATGAAGCCAAGTACCCAACAATATCGCCTCTGAGAGACATTGTGGATAACATTCACAGTCAAGTGGCCAAGACTGAGGATGACCTTAAGGTAACGTTTTTTTTTTTGTTTGATCTGATGCCCAGGTTGAGATGTGACTATCATAAGTTGTTGAAACTTTTGTCTAGGCTGTGAATAATTTTCTCCATAAGATTTCCAAAATCCTACTGTAACATATGGGAAGATTAGAAGAAGTTGATTATCCTCCATTAGGATATCCTCCATTAGGATATCCTCCTTCATTTTTAATAATTTATGACCGTTGTGATTATGTTTGCTTGATGGAGTTGGTATTTGTTTTGCCCTTGCCCTTGCCCATCATGATTGCTGCGAATCATGATCTTAATATATATATATATATAAGCACTAATGGTTAGGTGTTAAAAAAAATTTACTGGTTGTTTTATTGAGAAATAATGGCTTGGAAGAAAGTGGGAGTTGATGGACAAGGTATGAAATCTCAAGTCTTGTACAGTCAAGTTCAATTTGGTTCCCTCTACCTTGGCCTTAGTCTATTTCTGCTCTTTTTGGAATATATCTTTCGATTGTTTCTTATGTGAAAAAGTAAATTTTAGGATGTTCTTAAATTTTTTGAACTATCATGATCATATTATAATAATCTTCCTCTCTTTTTATCTAGCCTTATCAGCGAGGCAGTAGCCATTAATAAGACTGTAGCAGACTTTACTAGAACTTGAGATGATGAGCAAGTGCAGACACTTGCATATGCAATTAATTAGGAAACAGATGTGTTGAAGATTTTGTATTTATATCCTAAGATGCAAGGACATGGACATGACGTAATACTTCATATTCTAGAAATTTAAGATATGGACATGAGGAAGATAAGTGTATTGGACTATATATTCCGAGCATATGTGAATATTTTCATTCAGTACATTGTTTTTCACATTAGAACTAGGTTTCAACTTTTAATTTGAGAACATGCAACCATTCTGAGGAGAAATTATTCACAATTTTCTAAAGGTTCTCTTCTCTATAGCAAACGTTTTGAAAAATTGTAACCAAACAATAATTTTATAAATTATAAAATATCTTTTGAAGATTAATTTAATCGATATTGATGTTTTCCACTCTCACAAATTACTAGTTTTTCTCACATATTTTATAATGTATTTTTCAAGACAACAACAAATATGAAATTTAACACTTTTTTTCAATTATCTAATAATTTCTAAACAAATGTTCACAGGTGCCTAACATGTGTGTATTATGATTCAACTAGAGCTCAACATGTTTCTAGCATACCTGACAAGCATCCAACACATGTTTGACTAGTGTTTAAGGGTTAGATATGTGGTCCAATCGAACATATTTTCCTCACCAAAGTGTCAATGCTTCCTAGGTTTTACTGTCACTCCATAACCTAATTCATTGATTTCCTAACTTGCAACATTTTTCTGGTTTTATTATCAATACAGATATTTCTTCTCAATGGCAACTTAATGTATGCTATTTTATTTAGTGCTCTCCTGAAACTTTTTTATTTTCATGAAATTTCTTTACTGCCCGTGGGTGCTAGACAAACCAAAAGTAACTGAAACCTTTTAGGCATTTCCAGTAGAAATTTTCAGTGAAAGCTATTTCTATTGCTAGATTCGCGTTGCTGAGTACAATAATGTGCGGAGTCAACTTAATGCCATTAACAGAAAGCAAAGTGGAAGGTATGAGTGCTCATAATTGATACATTTGTATTTAGCCTATATGATGTTTCTAATTGATCTTCGTTTCATCAGCTTAGCAGTCCGGGATATTTCCAATCTTGTAAAACCAGAGGACATAATTATCTCAGAACATCTAACAACCCTTCTTGTGGTTGTTCCTAAGTACTCGCAGAAGGAGTGGCTATCTAGCTATGAAACACTGACTAGCTATGTGGTAAGTTTATGTTTTTAACTTCTATCTCCCTCTTGTACCACATTTTAATAGGATTATGATTTGCATGGTAAGCTTTCTATGGCTGAGTTAGATTATGTTAGGGTAGGTGAGATAAATTACTGTAGCCTCACAATGTTGAAATGTCTGGGACTGTAATGCTTCTACTTCTTGTCTCTTGTTCTGTTCTTTTTATGTTCTCATAATTATGCTAAGCTTTTTTAGGTTCCCAGGTCTTCCAAGAAGTTATACGAGGATAATGAATATGCCCTTTACTCCGTAACACTCTTTAATCGCGTTGCAGACAATTTCAAAACAAGTGCACGTGAAAAAGGGTTCCAGGTGAATATTTAATACATTTTGAATAATTTTTTATAACCAATTATTATTATACTGTAGTTTTCAAGCCTAATTTCTTTTAATCTTAATGTGTTGGAGATTCGTGAATTTGAATATAGTCCAGAAGCACAAGAGAGTAGAAAACAGGAGTTAGAAAAGTTGGTGCAGGACCA